CTGTGATCACGATGGCCAAATAGTGAAGAATGAACTGAAGCTGCTGCAGGCTTTGCGGGAGGGGGACACAAAGGACTCTCACATCATTCATTTCCTCGAGTCCTTCAGTGACACGGTCTGGACCTACCTGGTCTTTGAGCTGCTGCAGCAAAACCTCTTTGACTTCCAAAAGCAAAACAACTTCTCACCACTGCCAGTCCGACACATCCGAACCATCACAGCACAGGTGCTGGTGGCACTGGTCAAGCTGAAGGAGCTCTCCATCATCCATGCTGACCTTAAGCCAGAGAACATCATGCTAGTGGACCATGCACGCTATCCATTCCGCATCAAGCTTGTTGACTTTGGTTCGGCTATCCTCCTCCCTGAGGTCTGCCATGTCCAGGAGCCCTACATCCAAACCCGCTTCTACCGGGCACCAGAGATCTTGCTGGGGTTGCCCTTCTGCGAAAAGGTGGACATCTGGTCTTTGGGCTGTGTGATGGCTGAGCTTCACTTGGGTTGGCCACTCTACCCTGGCAATGATGAATATGACCAGGTATGCTACATCTGCTCTACCTTGGGGCTACCCCGGGGTGAGCTGCTCTGTGCTGCCCAAAAGACACAGTCCTTCTTCCAACGTGTGCCATGTTCCACTGGCACCTGGCAGCTCAAACCACCAGGGAAGGTGATGGCAGAGCCGATGGAGAGGAGGGAGCATATCTTTTCCTCACTGGATCAGTTGGCAGTGGTGAATGTCTGCCTGAGGCCTGATCCTGATCAGGAGGAGCTAGCCAAGCACTGTGATCTGTACAGGATGGTGGAGCTGGTCAAGAGGATGCTCACTTGGGACTCGCATGAGCGAATCACACCCAGTGCTGCCCTTCATCATCCCTTCATCTCCATGAAGGAGGTGAAGCCCAGCTTTGAGGCCACCCAGTACTACCAGCTCAGTCAGGAAGACCTGAGGGCATCCTGTAAGGATTCCAGCATAGTCAAGATCTTCCCAGGCACAGAGAAAGGTGCCTTCATCCCTGCCAGCCAGGGAGGCATCCAGAAAGCCACTGCTCAGATGGATGGGCTCAGCCTGGCTGAGCCAGCTGGGGACACTGGTGACAAATGTCAGCAGGACATCTGTCAAGCCCCCAGTCTCGTCCACTGTGGAAGCCAATGCTGTCAGCATCACTGGTGTCCCCAGATGGAGCTCACCAAGGGTCATTTGGGTGTGCCACAGTCTCCCAGCAAAATGAAATGGTACAGCCACTGGTATGGCAGCCCAGGCGGTGGCATCATGGAACAGAACCTGCCTGGAAGATGCTACAGCTCATCCTGTGCCAAGGTACAGGGAGGGGGCTCCTGGGCATGGGGACTCTGGGACAAAGGGTGCTTGGGGTCCCTTACATACTTGGGTTTCCTGGTGCCACAGGTCCCCAGGTGCCTGAGGTTCCCACAAAAAAGGAGGTAACACTCACCCTGTCCCCATGCTTTCTGCCCTGTTCCCCACCACAGAGAGCTCTGGTGATGTGGCGCAACCCCAAGCCTCCAGGGATTTGGAGAATGGGCTCCAGAGGCTGGGCTGGGATGCCCCTGCAGTACTCAGCATGCTCTTCCTACCACAGAGCCAGTGGCACTCCCAGCACCACTGAGATTCCACAGCAACCCTTGCATACATTCCAGCAGTCCAGAGCTTGCAAGAGACCTTCTTCTTCCTCACCCTCAAGCACCCCAACCACCAAAACCCAGCGCCTTGCTGGTGGAGACCACAGTCAGGGCTGCAGCAGAACATACTGTGCCAGGTGCTACCGGCTATGTTTCTCACATTGATTCCCCAATAAATAGTTTTGCCCAAAACTGAGAATTTCAACTGATTATTTGCCGGGGGAGTTTGATACTGCCAAGACTTGAGGGGTATCCCAGCTTCTCACCCAGGGCTGGCAGAGCACTTGGCAAAGGCCTGTCACTTTTCACCATTGCAGCATGGGCAACCCCCATCCCCAGGCTCAACAACAACATGAACTCCAGAAAACTTGTGTTTTCTGCTTTTTCTCCTGTAGCAGGGCATCTCACATCTCACAAAATTTATCTGTAGCTTGTTAAGTGGTCCAATAGTTCAAACAGGGCAAGTTGTCTTGTATGAATTATTTTGGTGCCATAGGGTTAACATTAGTCTGGCATCTCCCAACTGCCAATAAACACCTTACTGTTGAAGTGAAATTTAGCAAGATAAGCTGCATTTCTGACTGACAGACACTTCACAAACTATAAAAGTTACTTTCACAAAGCAAAAATCTGCACATTTTTCTGGAAATGTGTGTAGTTTGTCTCCATATCAGGGATGCCTGCTTTCCAATTACTCCCCTGGAGGCTGAGTAAAAGAACTCTGTGTACATTATCATCATCTCGGTAGCAAGTTACATTTGACTCCTGATCAGTACTATTTCTTTTACTAGCTTTAATAATGGTACCTTAATATTGTGCACTGTTCTATATAATCTACTAGTAGATCCTTTAATTTTATACTGAGTAGTAAGTAATTCTGATTAATATCTTTCATGTTATCGCCTTCTGTTTAATAAATAACTCATTTATAAATAGACCTAATGCATTATCCTTAGAACTTGTGGGCCATAGTAATTTCTTAAATTTAAACTGGCAAGGCTTGTCTAAGGCTTCTACTCACCCTGTGACATTCCCCAAACTGGAGTGGGAAGCCAGATTCAGCACAGCCAGACCCAGTGGTTCCTCAGTAGAATATTCCTTAGCCTTGAATGGAGCCCACAGAGGGTTTCCCAGCACTTGGCACTGCCTGCTTACAAACTGCCTGTGGCTGCTCTTGGGTGCTGCTGGTGGCATGGTATGGGCAGCAACAGCTCCACTCACCCTGAGCTTCACCACCAGCACTGAGCTTGCTGGCTGCACAAAGTCCCAAGACCAGTCGGATATCCCTGCAAGGAGATTTTTGGGGAAGGACAAAACAACCCAAAAACTGCCCCAAAGCCCCTGTCAGCAGCAGCTGGTGGTGACTCACCCAGAAGCGCTGACCCCAACCAAAATCCAGAGTGGAGGCAACACAGGCATTCAGGACACTCTCCAACAATCTCCCCACACAGCACCCTCAAATACAGCAAGGGGCAAACCTCCCCCCACCACCCGTGGGACCCCTCCACAACACATGAGGCCCCCTAAAAGAGGCCAAGACCCCCAAGAACTCCCCCAGTAGGACAGAGGCTCCCCCAGCAGTCCTGGGATCTCCAAATGGGGTCTGGAATCCTCCCAAGCTGGGTTCTGAGTACCCATCCACACTTTTATCCCAGCTCCTCAGCTCCCAATCATGCCGTTGTACTTGTGCTGGTGGGGGTCAATTTTGCGGGTTCATCTCACTGCAAACTCCCCTACGCTGTCACACATGTAGGGGTTGTCCTGCTCCAGAATGGTATCCATCATCATCTTCATCTCCATCCTATGCCTGCTGGAGGTGGGGATTCCCACCTGTCCCTCTCTGTTCCCCTGCGAGGTGTCACTTTGCCCTTGTTCTTGCAGCAGTGATAGTCATCGTCCAGCTTGTCCCCTTCAGGATCATGGGGGAAATTGGGTGGAGAAGGCTTCTTGAGAGGGTGGGGGCTAGGGATAGATGGGATAGATGGATGGACAAATACCTCCCTCTCTCCACTGGGGGGATGGATGGATGGATGGATGGATGGATGGATGGATGGATGGATGGATGGATGGATGGATGGATGGATGGATGGATGGATGGATGGATGGATGGATGGGTGGATGGATGGATGTCACAGTGAGGGAAACTTAGGCGCTCAATATGAGTGTTTAGCAAGCTTCCTTTATTGAAGAGAGCATCAGACTTTTATGCACAACAAGTAATAAGCTCATACATATTCTGCAAGCTAAGCAATCTATTGGCTATACTACAATATCAGCTCTTCCTCATACCTTAGGGGTTACATCTTTCTTTTCTCATGTCTCTCTCACTACTTGTTATTGTACCACAGCTATGCTCAAGGACACAGTGTTTTGCAGGTGCAGGGACCCAGATTAGCTGCATCCTCCCGATTCTTGGTCCAGAACATGGCCCCTGTCACGAAGCCATTCCTCCATGGATGGATGGATGGATGGATGGATGGACGGACGGATGGGTAGACGGACAGCAGGATTGGCCAGCCATGAGCCATATGGATAAACAGACAGCAGAGATGGCCAGGCCAGGGGGAGAGATGGCAGGGATTGTCTGGACAGATGGACAGCAGGGATAGCCAGGATGAGGGATGGATGCACAGCTGGACGACTGGCTGGGGTGATGTCATGCACCGGTCTACTTGGAGGGTTTAGGGGAAGGTTCTTTGATTTACTTTGGGCAGTGTGTGGGAGAAACAACAAAGTACTCAGGAAGTTCAAGAACAAACTATTTTTTGCAAACTTTAGAACATTAGGTAGAATAAGGTCTTTAGCAAGTTTTAAAATGTAGCTGTTTCAGTTATTACCTATAGTAATGGGCAGAAAATCATACAATGAAAAGCCAGTGTCCATAAAGAAGACAGAGGAGTCCTGCAACTTTATTTGAATAAAGGGAGAGAGTCCACTGGGGCACACGCCCACTGGGTTTTCTCTCTTGAAGTTCTGGAGGGTGCAGCCTCCTTTTATCCTAAACTCCCAGACACATGTTGCCCTCTTCCTTTCCCCATTGGCTGAGGTACCAGGAACATACAGCCTTCCCTAATCACCTACCACATATTCCCCCCTTAAACATAAAATTTTGGCCCAAGTTCAGAAACTCAGACTTTTGCAGACCCATTTGCCATTTCAGGAGTCAGTCTGGGTTCTGCAACAAACCTGTGGCTTCAAGTTAGTAGAGACATTAAGACTCATTTCAAAGACATTAATATCCATACCCACGCCCATGGAATTGTTTGTAAAGACATTAGCATTCAACTTTCCTATCAGTAATATAAAAGCATAAAAATAACATTAAAGAAAATTTATAAGGAAAAAGAAAGAGAAAGAAAGGATAAGAACAGAATGGTTATATAGTTATCACCCACAAGCAGGTCCAGCGACAAAACCTGGTTGTTGCAATTTTAACGCAAGTTGGTCAAAGTGATGTTCACAGTCTTGATCCATCAGGGGTGGAGGAAGCCTGCAAAATGCAATGGTCAATAGGTTAATATATAGCCAGGCTTGGTGGGAACACCCAGGTACCTCCCTTGGAGCAGGAGTTCTACACTGTATAATGTAGCACTTCAGATGGGGCACAACTGTTTTGAGTCTTTAACCATAAACATTCCAGGCTCTCACAGGTGGATGGCTGGACAGATGGAGAGAGCAGGGATGGCCAGGCCAAAGGGAAGGATGGCGAGATGGATGGGGATAGGATAGATGGGAGAATGGTCAGATGGTAAGATGGATGGATGAATGGATGGATGGATGGACGGAAGGACAAAAGGACAGATGAATGGATGGACAGATAGCTGAGTACTGATGGACATCTGTGACAACAGGTGTCTCTCAGGGGTCTGTACTGGCACCCGTGCTATTCAATATCCTCATCAATGAAACAGACAGTGGGATCAAGTGCACCCTCAGCACACTGGCAGATGACACTGAGCTGAGCAGTGCGGGTGACACACCTAGAGAATAGGGCCACCCAGAGGGACTTGGACAGGCTCAATCAGTGGGCCGATAGGAACTTTATGAGATTCCACAAGACCAAGTGCAGGTGCTGCACATGGGTCAGGGCAACACCCAGTATCGGTACAGGCTGTGAAATAAAGAGATTGAAAGCAGCCCTGCCAAAAAAGATGTGGGATGCTGGTAAGAGGCTGGACATGAGCTGGCCATGTGCACTGGCAGCCCAGAAACTAACTGCGTCCTGGGCTGATCCCCACAGCATGGGCAGCAGGTGAGAGGGGGTTCTGCCCCTCTTCTTTGCTCAGACAGAACTCCATCTGCAGTGCTGCCTCCAGCTCTGGGTTCTCCAGCACAGGAAGGATGTGGACCTGCTGTCCAGAGGCCATGGAACTGCTCTGAGGGCTGGAGCAGCTGTACTCTGGGGACAGACTAAGAGCCAGGGATGTTCAGCCCAGAGAAGAGAAGTCTCTAGGGGGACCTTAGAGCCCCTTCCAGTGCCTAAAGGGGCTCCAGAAGAGCTGGAGAGCAACTTGGGACAGGCTGGTGTGACAAGAAAAGGGAGAATGGCATCATACTATTATCTGGCAGGGTTAGATGGGACACTGGGAAGAAATTCTTTCCTGCAAGGGTGGTGAAGCACTGACATGGCTTGCCCATAGAAGCTGTGGAGCTGACAATGTGTCACTTATACTCAAGAGCATCCCTGAACCAGCCTTGGGACTTGATACCAACTTGCCTCACCAGCAGCCTGGAGAGCTGCCTTCCAATCAGCTCTACAAGCAGGATATTGCCAAGGCATTACTGTAAGTTTCCCTCTTCTCCTTGAGAAACCACGTTCCACACCCAGAGACAAACCAGGATGCGCTGTGATGGTTCCCACCAGCTGTCCAGATCAGAGAGACACAGGTAAGGCACCATGGAGGAGACACTGACTGTCATTTCTCTTGCAGGAACTGGGTTTAACAGCAGGAGGGAGCCAGGGCACAAGGGCTCATAAGATCCAGAAAATGCATCAAACAGCAGCAAGAGAAGAGGAAAATGTGCAGATCACCAAGCTGGGATAGTGCTTTTAGGGAACATCTGCCAGTACAATTACAGTGAAAAGCATTGGGAGGTCAGGGAGTGACTGAGAAGAGTGCCCAGCAGAGAGGAGAGCCCAGGGAGACAGGACATGAAAAAGATGGAAAGTGGAAACTGAGGGCACTCATAGTGTGCAGGCCCTGGAGAGAGACACTGTTGGTTGAACAGATGATGGGGAAGAGTAACCTGGCTTGTATTGCAATTTTTACATGATTTGCAAGGGTGTTTTTTGATGTCATGTGTGCCTGAGAAGATAAGAGGACAAGGCAGAAAGAACTGGTTTATGCGGATGCAATACATGTAGCTAAATAATAAAATCATTAATCTTGGTAATTCTATAGTAAAGTATCTTTCCCTTTCTCCGGGGCTGCTGAAGAAGTGACTTTTACACAGAATGTGACTAGTGCCAAGAAAGATCCCTGCACTTGGATGCTTATCTGGACTCTGCTCCTGCTCACATCCCCTACTCCAAACACCTTTCTCATTGGACTTAGTTGCTAGAGGGCACAGCAGTCCCAAGCACTGGCAGTGGAGATCATTCCTCATTTTGGAATGAACTTCACAGCAGGCTTGGGAGCTGGTGCTTTATACTTTCTGTGGTAAGAAATGCTTAAATATTTGTCTTGGTTTTGCCTCAGAAGCTGATTTCTGAGTGGAAACCCACCTGCTTAACCAAACAGCCCTGTTGATGGGAACTGTCAGTGTCCATGCTTGCAGTCACTGGGTTTCCCTGTCTCTTGCAGAGATATCTCTCCCTGGGTGTTGCACTTGGGAGAACGTGAGCCACTCAGAGGGGAGCTGAGCCTCTGATCCAGGAGCTCTGGAGACACTTCCTAAGAATTCTTTTTCCCTGAGATCTCTGCATGCTCTTTCAATACAATTGTACAAAGCTCCCACCTTTCTACATAACAGGGGAGTGTTCATAAAGGAAGTCTTGAGTTAAACAAATTTTAAAAAACCCTGTTGTTTCTTGCATGGTCAAACTCTCTATAGAACAATCAGAAGCAACCACTTGGGACCAGGTTTGGTTTGATGGTTTTATTGTTTCAATCATAAATGTCAGGTTTAACGGTCAACATTCTTCTGAGATATCTGCAGCCTTTGATGGTCACTGGCAGGTTATGCTGGGAAGCTTGGTGACCAGTACTGAACAGGTCTGTACAGAAGCTATATGCACTTGAAATCATTGGCAAAGAGTGAGGCAACTGTTGCAGTGTTGCAAATGTTGCTACTTTTTAGTCCTCCTCTCTTGAGAATGAATGAAAAAGTTCCCTTTCTCCATTCTTGCACCATCCTCCCCCGAGCTTCTACCATCAGGAGGCTCTTTCTCTCCCTGTGGGAACAGATGAGCAGGTTCCCATGGCCATGTCCCAGCTGGTGGTGAGGGTACCCTGAACTTCCTGGGAGATGGAATGTCTAGCTGGCTTCTATTCAAGTCTCCCCCTCCTCAGCGTGTGTGGGCTTTCTCCACCTCCTTGATTTCTTGCAGTCTCCTTGTGGCTTCAGGCCTGTCATTTTCTGGCACACTTGACATGACATGCAGAAGACTGAAGCAGCACAAGGCTTTGGAAAATAGATCACTGTTTTCCAGTCATGTCTGTCCCTTTCAGGCAGTGACTGATCTTTATGCTCCCAGATGTCCATTTTGCCCCTTTTCACAACTGGCCCTTCTCAAAGAGCATGCATCTGCCAATTTACACAAGCCCAGTTTAGTCAGTGCTCTCCTGGGGGTCAGGGCACCTCAGAGCAGACAGGGAAATATTCCCGGTGCCCTGGGTTTCCACAAATGCATACATAACAATTTCCAAATCAGGATTCTTGTCCAGGAAAGGTCTCTTTCCAAGCAGAAAAGTTGCAGTGCACTTGTTTACCTACCTTGCTCATCTTTCTGCCACAGAAAGCATGACTTCTGCTCAAGCACGGTCAGGACATTGAAGGATGTCCTGTAAACCTCTCAAAGGCAGTGTTCAGCTGATCAAACCTTGAAAACAAGCACAGATCTAACTGTTGCCATTGTGGAATTAGTGGAAAAGACCCTGAGGATTGAAACCAATTGCTCGCCCACCACTGCCAAGGCCACCACTAAACTATGTCCCCAGGTGCCACATCTACATGGCTTTTAAACCCTTTCAGGGATGGGGACTCCACCACTACTCCGGACAGTCTGTGCCAGGGCTGGATGAGCCTTTCCACAGAGATTCTTACTGATGTCCAACCTGAACTTCCCCTGCAACAACTTGAGGCCAGTGCCTCTTGTCCTGTCCTTTGTTCCCTGAGAGCAGAGCCTGACCCTCACATGACTGCATCCTCCTGCCAGAGGGTTGTGGAAAGTGAGAAAGTCCCCTCAAGCCTCCTTTTCTCCAGGCTGAGTCCTCCCAGCTCCCTCAGCTGCTCCTTGTGCTCCAGACCCTTCCACAGTTCCATTCTCTTTTCCGGACATACTCCTGCCTCGCAATGTCTTTTTTGTAGAGAAGCACCAAGAACTGACCCCAGGACTAGAGGTGCCTCACCACAGCTGGGTGGTGACTGCCCTGGTTCCACAGGCCACGCTTGGCTGGTACAGCCCATGTACTATTGGCCTCCTTGCCCATGTGGGCACAACTGAGCTCATGTTCAGCCGGCGTGCGCCCAGGGGGCAGGGAGATGAACGGGCAAGCCTTCCCAACCGAGCAGCGGTCTACTCTGGGGAGTCCGAGCTGCCCCAGCAGGATGGAGCTCCCGACGCCACCCGGATACCACAGACACGGTCTGGACACAGAACACACATCCCAGACGTCCCGGACAACCTCACCCCCATCTCCCGCCCGTCTCGCCTTTCGTCGCTGTTTCCACTTCCGCCCCCATTTCCGCTTCCTGCAGTGGTAGTCGCAATGTCGGCGCTGGCAGCGAATCCCAACAACCCCGTGGTTTTCTTCGATGTAACCATCGGCGGGCAGGTGGGGGTGCTCCAGGACGGGGAGCGGCGGCGCCCGGGGAGGGACTGCGGGGATAATTGGGGATGTCGGAGTGTTGTGGGGATGAGAGAGCACGGGCGGTGCCCGGGGTTCAACGTGAGGCTTGCGGGGCCGCAACTGGAAGCGCTGGGAGGGGCGGCACCAGGAGCCGGATGGCGGGCCTCTCGGGTCACTGGGCCCGTCGGGAAGGGCTCGCAGGGGAGAGGGGAAGGAGGAGCCTGGAGGGGTGGGGATGAATGAGGGTGAATGAGGTGACCGGATTTGTGCGAGTGCCTGGGGTCGGGCGGCAGGCGTCTGTGCGAGGGGACCTGGAAGACTCACCTGGCCCTCGTCTCCTCAGGAGGTCGGCCGCATGAAGATCGAGCTGTTCGCAGATGTTGTACCCAAAACAGCAGAGAACTTCAGGTAACGAGCAGCTACCGTTCCTGCAGCTCAGCCTGGACTGGAACTGCAAACGCTTTCTGGTGCAAGAATGGCTTTTGGTGGCAAACTGATTCGCTGCACCCACCCCAAACTGCTTCACCTACTTTATATCTCTCTCTTCTCAGAGATGCTGTGTGGCATCCTGGTCTCTCAGGGGACCCTGTCTGGCTGGAAGGGGTCCTCCTCTGCTTCTTCTGTGAAGCCTCCTGGTTTGCTCCATGCATTTAGAGCAGGGAGTGCCTTGTGCCATGGTGGAGGTCTCCTGGCCACCCAGTTCTCCTGCCATCAACTGAGGGATGCACCATGTGAAATCCCACTTCAGTTGGAGGGATGGACATACCCTGGTCTCTGTCAAACACAGTGCCTGCCCCACATTCACAGTTTCTTACAACCTTGGTGTTAGCTCTCTGACTTCCTCACTACAAAGAGTACAGAATATGTTTGAAATGTCAGGGGGAAGGAGTTACCATTTCCTGTTCCTGTTTCTCTGGGAACATCTCTGATGCAATAAGGAAAATCCTGTGCACCTGTTGATGCAGCCCTCAGAGTTCATATGCACCTAACACTCTGCTCTCTTTTTGTTTGCCAGGCAGTTTTGTACAGGTGAATTCAGGTAAGTGGATTATAATGTCCTTTAAGTGTCCCACTGGAGAAACAGGGCTGGGTGAGGTAGAAAGGGTTTGTTTTGAACTTCTTCATGTTGTGCTAGTACAAAATGGAAGAGAAATCTGCTCTGAGGAAATTGTGAGAGGCTGGAGACTCACAGAGATGGCAGGTTTCTCTTTCTGATATGACTTTTTTTGTGCTCAGGTGGCTCTAAAAAGCCCTATCTGCAAAGCCCGCCTGCTCATGCTGCACATTGCAGTGGGATCCTGTAAAGGTGATGGTGTGGGTGTTGGAGGGAACAGAGTCATTTCATCTGCAGAGCCCACTTGAGGCTTTTTTTTGCCTCCCAACAGCAGCAGCCGAGAGGCTGCGGCACTTGGCTGTATTTCAAGGCAGCTGCTAATGTATACAGCAACCCTTTGGGACTCTGAATTGCTGGGACAATTTTGTGTTGGGATATCTAGTAGGTTGCAATAATTCTCCTTTTCACTTCCCTGCAGGAAAGATGGTGTCCCTATAGGTTATAAAGGAAGTACTTTCCACAGGTAAATCATCTGCTGTTGTTTTGACACTGAATAGCAGCCTGAGACATACGGGGTTTTGTGACCTGCCAGGAGCTATTAGTGGTGTTGGAGATATTTGCGGATCATGGCGAATGTAATTCTGTGGCTTTGGGGGACCTGGGGATGCTGTCCTCCCCACTGGGAGGAATCCCCTGGTTCTGGTGTGCCACGTCAGATACGGCATCTGTGACGGTATCACTTTGCCTGTTGAAAAGCAATGAGTCTTAAATAACCTTGTATCAACCATTAATTAATATTTGTTGTAGATTTTAGGCTGCAGCATTCACAGATTGTTAACTTCTGTTGCACAGCAAGGCAGAACCCCTTTTCATCTTATCCTGAGCTTCTTGAGGCTTTTGGCCACTGAGAACTAAGTGTTGTTTTACTTCTTTAGGGTAATAAAGGATTTCATGATCCAAGGAGGTGACTTCGTAAATGTATGTACTCCTGTACTCTTTTTGTCCTTTTCCTCTAAGGTATAACATGCTGCTGTTTCCAAGGGTCTGTGCTGATTTGTGAGCTCTCTTTCTTTTTTGAGGTATCCAGTAGTAACTGGAGGTATCCTCATAGCATTGCTGCCATCCTACTGCAACAGATAATAAACCACTTGAAAACAAATCTGGAGCCTTGGGGGAACACACATTCTTCCCAAAATATTTTCTCTCTGCAGTAACCTGCCAAAACCCTGGAAGCTTTCAAAACTTGAAAAAATTTGTTTGCCCTGTTTTCCTTCCCCCTTCTGTGGACCTCCTCCAGACAAAACACCTCTGTGAATTTCAATTCACATTGTTGATAAACCCTAAGTACAAAACCCAGTGTGCAATGTGCATAATGTAAGAAGTCATTTAAATCAAAACTAACCTTTTGTTACTAAATTTTCTCAAAATAGAAGAATCTTTGCACCCACAATGGTGGTTGTGCTCTGACATGGGGATAAGCAGAACATATGAGTAAGGCTGAAGGGCCACAGGATCTCTTCACTGTTCCAGGATCCAGTAAAATTATTTTATTTTTAGAAGTGTTTCAAAATATGAGGGAAGTAATAAAGATTTTTAATATAAAACTTGGTTGTATGAAAGTCTCTTAGAGAAATCACCACACAGCAGGTGGTTCAGCAACACCAGACTCTGGTAGTTGCTAATCATGACACTGCTCAGATGCCCCAGTGCACTGTATTACTTCCACTGCATCTCAATAAGCTTTACACATTGCTCCAGTATTTGCAATTTATATGTTATATTTATTACAAAGCCACCTGGGGAGCAAGCGCAGTCACACTGACCCCTGAGACAGGTTGCAAGTTTCTTTCTCAGAGCCAAAAGTTTAAGTAAACTACAGAGAGCAGGAGGGAAACAAAAAAGGGCTGGGCAAGTAGAGCAAAAGGACTTAGTAGAAAGTACAACATAAACAGAAAATCTTTATTTTAGAAACTGTCCTTGTAGAACAGAAAGATTGTTTTCCTATTTCCAATAAAGTCACAGAAAATAAGGTGAAATATATAAAACCACTGTAAGCCAACTTTTGCCATTGCCATGCAACCACTTCTGCTTTCTTTGTCACACCATCCCATATTCTGTGTCTCCTGCCTTTTCCCTTCCAAGTCCTGATGGGTCTGTACTAAGCAATCTGTAGCCTCCACTTCACTCTGGGAGGTTTGGACTTAAACTTACCACCTGCATAGGCTTTTGCCAACATATGAATGATGAACAATGAACTGTGTAGTTAGAAACTGGTTCATTTCTTGTTCTGAAATGAAACGCTGAATGTGTTCACTGCTGGTGTATGTAAATGGCAATACAAAGTCCATTTTGCCCTTTCCTCTTGCTTAGAGATTTTAAATTAATTTTTAATTTGAATTGTTCTGTAGCAGTTGCTACAGAACAAATGCTGTAGCTGACTGGGTACCTCTGTCATGCAGGGAGACGGCACTGGAGTAGCCAGTATATATAGAGGTCCTTTTGCAGACGAAAACTTCAAGCTGAAACATTCTGCACCTGGCCTGCTTTCTATGGTGAGTATAAAATAATGACATTACAGACTAAAATCTTTTGGAACTTTCTCTGTGCCCTTTTCCTAAGTGTATATAGTATTTGCTTGGCAACAGAATCTGCCATTGGGTACAAGGTCTGCTTTGTAGCTACTAGTCAAGCAGCTACTTTTAGGTTAATATGTTGAGTAACACAATAGTCCTGATCCTGCAGCATCCTTTCTTTGCTGCCTGTTGGAGCACTGGGACAGGCTTAGCTTGATTTTGCTTTCAGAAGAGCTTAATTCTTGCAGCTTTCATACAGTGGTGAGTTGGTGGTGTTTTCGTCTTTCCTGATACTCTTATCAAACACTGACCTTGGCAAGGATGAAACAGAGACATTTGGGAGTTCCAAAGCCACAGCAGTGTTAC